AGGACTATGATGAGCGTGTGCTGCCATCTATTACTACAGAGATCCTCAAGTCGGTGGTGGCTCGCTTTGATGCTGGAGAGCTAATCACCCAGAGAGAGCTCGTCTCCAGGCAGGTGAGCGATGACCTTACGGAGCGAGCAGCAACCTTTGGGCTCATCCTGGATGATGTTTCCTTGACACATCTGACCTTCGGGAAGGAGTTCACAGAAGCAGTGGAAGCCAAACAGGTGGCTCAACAGGAAGCAGAGAGGGCCAGATTTGTGGTGGAAAAGGCTGAGCAGCAGAAAAAGGCAGCCATCATCTCTGCTGAGGGGGACTCCAAGGCAGCAGAGCTGATTGCCAACTCACTGGCCACAGCGGGTGATGGCCTGATCGAGCTCCGCAAGCTGGAGGCTGCAGAGGACATTGCATTCCAGCTGTCGCGCTCTCGGAACATCACCTACCTGCCAGCAGGGCAGTCTGTGCTCCTCCAGCTGCCCCAGTGAGGGCCTGCCCTGCCTGTACTCCTCAAGCCAACTGGGCCACAGCCCTGATGATGATTAACACCACCTCCCTTCTGCCCCCACCCAGAAATCACTGTGAAATCTCATGATTGGCTTAAAGTGAAGGAAATAAAAGTAAAAATCACTTCAGATCTCTAAAAAAAAAAAAAAGACATTGTGCATTTTAACAAATGTTAAAGTTCATATTAATTTTAATAAATAAATAAATAAATCATGTTAAAGTTAAGTTAGAGCCTATGTTAGAAAGGCACAAAAGCCAGTTGGTGCCCTTTTTATCTGTTATATTAATTCTTTTGTATATAAATTAATATATGGATTTCGAATTTCCAGTTGAATCAAATTATAGAAAATATATACTCTATTTATGTATTATATATTTATATTAAAATATTATCTATGGGCCAGGCATAGTGGCTCATGCCTGTAATCACAACACTTTAGGAGGCCAAAGTGGGAGGCTCACTTGCGCCTAGGTACCCAGGACACAGGCCTAGGCAACGTGGCATAATGCTGTCTCTAAAAAAAATTTTTAAAGTCCACTGAGTAGGGTGGCAAGCATCTATAGTCTCAGCTACTTGGGAGGCAGAGGCAGGAGAATCACTTGAGCCTAAGAGTTTGAGGTTCTGTGAGCAATGATGATGCCACTGCACTCCGGTCCAGGCAATAGACCAAGACACTATCCCCCAAAAAAACAAACAATAAAGAACCCCACAAAATTATATATATGTGTGTATATATTAGATACAAAATTTTAGAATTGCCATTTTATTTTCCCTCTGTAACTAGGGTTTTTTCATTAATTGATAAATAATCTAAGGCTAGCATTATGTTTGCTAGGCCTGGCATTTGCTCAGTACTTAAAATTCTTCTTTCTTAAACTCAGTTCAGTTAAAGTTAGGGTAGAAGGAACCAGGGAGCTGGGAGAGGGGCAGAGGGGCAGAGGGAGGGAGATTGGTGAGTTCCCACTTAATGGGCACCCTCTTGTGTGTAGGGACACAACTACAAGAGAGACTTCTACCTAACAAATGTAAACGTTGTAACCTAGTTATTTGTAGCCTCACATTAAGTCCCTCTTTCTTTGTGTTGGGCTTGTGGCTATTTGGTTGGGGGGGGGGGTTGTTTTTGTTTTTTTCTTTCAGGTGTTTAGCCACTTGGAGCCAAGGTTCTTCATTTCTATCTCTAGTTGATGAGAGAAGAGAGAGGAGGAAAAGGGCCCAGTGGCAGGGGCCTCTCTCTGGGACACCCCACACCTAAAGATAATCACACTTTTATCCTTCTTTTTTTTTTTAAAGTAAAATCTTTAGAATTGCTCATAATTCTAAACAGCTAAAATATTTTTTTCCCTCTCTTTCTATGAATGTTTACTGGACAAGCTGGTACAGAGTAGCTTCTATTGTGAAGAGCGGTCTCCCTATACACTTCTCATGTCTTGGTCATGCTGATTATCCTGAGTTGGTTGGGTTCAGTGGACAGTGACCAGGAACACCTGGAGGGGGAAAGGTCACCCCCTCCTAAAACTCCTCAATGCTTGGAAGGTGGAGATTAGCCTGTCATTTCTAGATCTGAAGGGACTGATGACTCCAGGTGATATGTGCTAGAACAAAAAGAACAAGCATTGACTGAGGCCTCTTGTCTTCCCCTGGGACTTCATGATTTGCACTAGCTGCCCTCAGTGTGACACTGATTGCTACTCAAGGCAGAGAGATGGAAATCTGAGCACAGGCCTCATGGAGAACTAAGTATTCGGCACCCAGCATCTCAAGGAGGCCAGGAAATAATGGTCTCTGAAAGTCCTGTGGACTCCACAAGAGTAAAAGACAAGCTTCGTGAATAGCCTTCAACAGAAGCAGGTCAAATTGGTCCAAGCTGCGCCATCCAAAATCCCCTGGTTCTAGGTGTCTGGCATTAGCAGTTTGTAACTTTGCAACCTCCTACTTCCAACCTCCCTCCTGTTACACCCCACCAAATACACTTTTGTGAAACACAGGACTGATCTATCCCAGTCAGTCACTGTCCCTCTCAAACAGAAACGCCTTCCACAGGAGCCTGCTGGTCAACCTCTGAACTACATGAGCTTATAAGAGGTTGGAAAAAGACAAATATATTTTTCCTACCCTCCAGTGCAATACAGCATATTTTCTTTTTCTTTTTTTTTTTTTTCTCTTGAGACAGAGTCTTACTTCATTGCCATGACATCATCAAAGCTCACAGCAACTTCAGACTCACCAGCACAAGCAATCCTCTTGAGTAGCCAAGACTACAGATGTGGGCCGCTGCACCCAGCTCACAGCATATTTCTGACACCAGATGTGGGAGGGGGGTTCCCCATACCATACACCATGCAATTCTCCAGTGGACACCAACCTACTGTGTATCCTACAATTCAGTTCAATTCTAACGCTACCGGCCTGGAGTTAGAGTCATAGATCAAGGGCTCAGTCCTATGAGACCCCACCTTGAAACACAGTCACAAGTTTCAGGTCATCACCTGTTCTTCTGACCAACTACTAGAAATCAGAGGTTCCCACATCCCCTTGTCCACTTTGATTAATTTGCTATGATAGCTCACAGAACTCAGGGAAATACTTAACCTCTCTTTACCAATTTATGATATCAATAAGGGATATAAGAAAAGATACAATACAGACCAATAACCAGATACAGAAATACATAGGACAAGGTCTGGAAAGGTCCCAAAAGCAAGGAGACCCCCTGTCCCCAGGGAGCTGGAGTGTGTCACCCTCCCAACAAATGGATGCATTTGCCATCTCAAAAGTTCTCTGAAGCCCGTGGTTATGGGCTTTAATAGAAGCTTAATTATATAAGCATGCTTGCAGACCTTTGATGATCAACTCACCCTTCAGCTCCTCTCTCCTCCCTGGAGGTCAGAGGTAGGACTGAAAATCCCCACCCTCTAATTACAGGGTTGGTTCCCCTGGCAACCTGCCCCATCCTGAGGCCAGCTTTAGAACAAAAGATGCCACCATCACCCAGGAAATTCCAAAGGATTTAGGTTCTCTGTGTCCTATGACTCAGGACATTACAAAGGTCTTAGGAGCTCTGTGTCAGGAACTGGGGGTCAAAGATCAAACATTAGATCACAAAACTCTCTGGTGCCCCTCTACAAGGGTTTTAGGAGCTCAATGTCAGGAATATATATAATATTTCTTTTATATACATATATACACATAGAGTATTTCTTATTTTTTTTTCAAGACATACGTGGAGTGTCTGGTTCATTTAAACTGGCTATCAGAGGTCCCACCATGGAGCAGGAACTGAGTAGCTGGGAGCTGTGGGGCCAAGCAGGACTGGGATGACTGGGATGTCCAGGTATCAGATGGCAAAGAGAGGTCAGCAGAGCAGCCAGAGGAGCATTAGGACCAGGATGAGCAGGGGAACCTAGGCCCACGGAGCCCAGCCCTTCTCCTGTCCTCAGCATAGAACCTTGGCTACCAGCTCAGCTCCTATGGCTCAAGTGGCTAAGGCACCAGCCACATACACCTAAGGTGGTGTGTTCAAATCCAGCCCGGGCCCACCAAACAATGACAGCTGCAACCAAAAAATAGCCAGGCATTGTGGCGGGCACCTGTGGTCTCAGCTACTTGGGAGGCAGAGGCAGGAGACTCACTAGACCCCAGGAGTTGGAGGTTACTGTAAGCTGTGATGCCACGGCACTCTACCCAGGGGACAGCTTGAGGTTCTGTCTCAAAAAAAAAATTAAGTAATGGCTATGTTAATTAGTTTGATTTAAGCAATCCATGTTGTATGTCAAATCATCAGATTGTACCCCATAAATATATACAGCTATGATTTAATAAAAATTAAGTAAAAAAGGAAATAAT